CCTCCTACATGGATAAGCTCATTCCTGCCCAGTGCATCAGGCACAGCTCTCTCCCTGTGAATAACTGCTAATCTTCTATCTGTTGCTAAGATCCCTCTCATGAATGTGGAACACCTCAAGCCACCTGCTTCTTGGACTTCACTTGGAAGGTCTAAAAACTTGTTCAGCTCAACCAGTCCACACCAAGGATTATCCTGTTCCCCATCCATATCCGATTCCTCCGGGTGTGTTCCCTGTTGAAATGAAGAGTGCCACCAACCCTCACGGGCTGCAACCAAAAACCTTGCCCTCCCCGATTCCTCCCTCCTTCTCCCCTGGACTGCTTCATCTGGTGGATTGGTATTCCCGAATGCCTGCAGCATTCACCCCTTTCTTTCCATTCCCAGGGCAACCACTCCCCTCCAGGATCTTACTGTTTCTCACCAGGATTTCTGCTGCCACCTCCCAACTGGTGCCTTCCTCCTTGTCAGGTCCCTCTGAGATCTGTTCTCAGCCCAACAGCCAGCGTGATCTGGTCGTGTCTGAGCCCTGCTCACAGCTCTCAGTGGCTTTTTGCTTTCTTCAGGACAAAGGCTAAATTATTGAAATTCAAGGCCTCCTGGAATCTGGTCTGTCCTTCTCTGCCCTATCTTCTGATCACTTTTTCCAACAGTGATGTCATACTCTAGCCATACTGAACTGCTTAAAGTTTGTCCAACTCTACTAGTTTCCACGTCACTCCCTTTGCACACCCCCACCCCCATTCTCCTCCTTGTCAACCTGGTAAACTCTAATCTATTGTTCGAGTTTCAGCACAGTCTGCACTTCCCCTGGAGACTTCTCAGCCCATGCAATAGATGCCTCCCTTCGTGCTTCCTCCACACCTGGCACCTTGCCCTTCTCATTCTGCTATCACAGGATCCAGGGTGCCCATTCATTCATTCACTCATTGGTTCTACACATATTTACCAAGTTGGTGCCTGGAGTATGGTGACTGAAGTCCTGTGATTCCTGACCCGACAGAAAACGATAACTGCAACTGTTTACCCGTCTGACTCAATAAGCCTGGGCGGAATGATTGATGATCTTGTTTTCATGTGCCTCCAGGCCTTTGTCCTTGCTGGTCCCTTGGCCTGCAACACTCTCTCCAGTCCTCACGGCTGGCTTCTTTTTGGCCAGATTAGTATCTGAAGTCAGTTTCCCTCCTGCCTCTCCCTCGTTAGGTCTTCATTCAGATTTACTGTCTCCATAGCACTTAACACTGTTGAAAACACCTTGCTTCTCTTCTTTGTCTACTTCTTCTCATGGGAATGTAAGCCTTTCAAGAGTAGGCACCTTGCCTGTTTATTGCCCACAGAGTCTTAGTGACTAGTATGTGCCAGGCACACACAAGGGGTTGGATAACGTGATAAATGAATTAATGGGTTTTATAGATAAGGAGGGGGATGTAGAAAAGGAAGGACTGGTCCCAAGCATGAAATTATTTAGTTATAGATCTAATACTGAGCAACCATTGAAGTTATAGTTATGGAGTGGAGGGTGGTAATTGAAAAACAATAACACAACTAACAGATACAGGAGGTAAAGTAAGGGAGAGAGGGATGAAATGTGCTAAAGTCACAGCAGGGCATTGCCTGCTCTCAAATAGGGAGAGATCATCCATGAACACCATTATTGTATTCCCTCCTTGTTTTTGTTCAGCCTTTTTCTGAACCTTTGCAGAATTATTTAGGAAACAATCTCTCTCATGTGGTAAAGAGAGATTTAAAATTTAATAATTCCTTCAGCTTCCTGTTGGCTTTTTCCTATTAAAAGAAAAAGAAACACCTTAAATTTTAAAATGGCAACTTTAAGGTGTGAATATTTTAAAATACACTTATTTTTCCTATTTGCCAACCATGTATACTTATCCACACAGATGGATAAATATATATATGCATATATACATGGTTATGAAACACATTATATATTACATATATAATACCTATATATGCCTAAGACAATGTCTGGGATTTATTTAATATTCATAAAAGTTATTTCTGACTGATAAAATTCTGGTTTTCTTTTATTTTCTGTATTTTCCTGCATTAGTTTTCATTTTTTGCTATGTCCATGTATCATACCACTTTTGCAAGGAGAAAATTATTTTTTAAAAACTAGTTTCAGCAGATACACAAAAATGCAGCTGAGAGATGGTTCTGGAAGGTAGAGATATTTAAGATACTTTTGCATCTTTTTTCTGAAATGTTTTTTTTAATTTTAAAGAGGAATTTCATAAAGGCAAAATGTGAATCTAAGATTAGTGCAGTAGGGATCCAGAGAGGGCAAGTAGAGTCAAGGTCCAGGTTGACTGCTTCCTGGGTCAAGCTGTCTTTTCAGCCAGGAGAGGCCCCACGGCACAGAGCTCCCAGGAAGAATCCGGTGGCCAGGTCACGGACCCACCTAGGGAACGGAATGGAGGTCGCATTAGAGGCCGGGCCTTTCTTTGGCCTGCAGGCATCCAGCAGGAGGGTTCCATGCTTCTCAGGTGATTGCTCTTGGTTCTTGGGACTCACGTTTAAGCCCTTAAAGGGCTAAGTCCTCACAGCTCCTCCAGCCCCCTATAAACAGAGGCTTGACAGTCGCAAGCCCAGAGACTTGTCCAGCTCCTCTCAGGGCGCCAGACAACAAAACAAATGATTGTAAATGAATATGTGTAGCAGGTGGTATACGAGCACCAGCTGAAAAAATTTTCTTTTTCAACAGAGAACTATTCAAGTGAAGAAGAAGCCATAGGAGGTGAATACACATGAGAGAGGGAGGGGCCAAAGACCCCTGGGTGGGTTGAAATGACAGGGCAATCAGGGCGCTGGGTGGGGAAATGAGGGGCAGCCTTCGCTCCCGTTAATAGTGAAACCACCCGTTGCGTGTCCGTGTTTACCACGGACTGTGACCTCCTTCTGTGGTCTGAGTCCAACTAGTCTTTGGTCCCTCCTCCCCATTGCCTCGCCCCCTAAATGCTCAAAAAATGCCTAACTGGACAGAGGCTTCTCCTTGCATGGGTCCAATCTCAGGCCTCTGTAGAGAGAGCCAGATGAACGCATCCCACACAGGGGGCCGGCTTTCTCTTGTTCCTGTGTAGGGAGAGTCGGGCATTCTAGGGGGCAAATACTGAGCGGAGGACACGGCCCTCTGCACGGGTGTGCCAGTCGCAGCCCTTGGGGGACAGCTGGAGACGTCGGAGGTGGGAAGGTGCGTGCACCCCCTCAGCAGGCCGCTCACGCTGGTGGTATCCAAGGAGGCCCGGGGATCTCTGGGGATGAAGCTAAGTCCGCAGGGTTCTGCGCCAAGTGCTCGCATCTCAGAGCATCTGGGGGGTTCTAGTTCATTTAACTCGCCTTCCCCATCGGGCAAGTGGGAAGACTCCCTGCTTCCAGGACGCCCGGGGTGGGGAAGAGGGCAAGCAAGACTGCGGGAAGTGCGGCGCCCACGCCGGCGAGCGTCTCCAGGGCTTCGGGTGGGCTAGCTCGGCCCGGCGCGGGCGCAGCCGGGGGCCCCGGCCCGGTGCGGCGCGCGCCCTCCCCCGCGCCCCCTCGGCCCTCGGCCGCCCGGGTCGCCCCGCCTCCGCGCGCGGCCCTCGGCGGCTGGGTGCCCGCGCCGTCCCGGCAGCGGGCAGGGGGGCGCGCGGGGCCGGACCGGGCTGCCTGGCGGCGGGGCGCGCGGGCGCCCAGGACGCACGCGGCGGGCCGGGCGGCGCGCTTCCCCTCCCCCGCGGCCCGGAGCGCGAGCCGCCGTGACGTCACGGGCCGCCCGCCAGCCCCGCGCTCCAGCGGGCAGAGCGCGTGCGGCCGCCGAGCACATGGGCCCGCGGGCCGGGCGGGCTCGGGGCTGCCGGGCCCCGGAGGGGCGGCGAGGGGCCGCGAGCGAGGATGGGCCCCGGCGCCCCCCGGCGCCCGCGCCGTGGATTTCCTCACGGAAAGGGATGTTAGCGGCCCCGGTGACCTGCGGAGACGGCTGAATCCACCTTCCAGTAAGTTAGAATTTGCTCTCTGCGTTTCTGGAAACTCGCAAGCCTCGGCCTTGAGGGTTGGGACGTGCAGTGAGGAGTTGGACCGAGGAAAGGGGCTTTCGGGTTCCGACCTGTGTGTGTTAGCCGTGCGCTTTCCTCATCACCGGACTCAAGACTGGCAGCGCGTTTGGGCTTTGGGGAGGGAAGGGGGAGGGGAGGAGGGTGACATCGAATGGCCCGTGCATAGAGATAATGCTGGATTTATGCACTTAGGATCACCTAAGCCCTCAAAGTAGACCCTCTCCACTCAGAACCGATTTGGGGTCATGGGTATGGTTTAGACGCCCCTTTTGAGAAACTAGAGGTCTGGAGCTATGTGATGCTCCCTTCATCCTTTGACAGTCTCCTCCCAACCCCCTCAAGGTGTTTTCCCAAGAGCCAGCAACTCTGGTTTTTGAAACTTTATCTGCTTTTGCATTGCGTTTACAAATCTGCTGGTGTCCCCACAAAAGAATCTGTAATTCTGTTCGGATGGGTTGTTGCTTTCATTAGGTTTACCCTTTCTAGGCTAATGTGCTGTCCTTTTTGCCAGTGTTTGTCGTCCGGGTATAGACTTTCAGGAAGGGCAACCAGCCATGGGGCTGCATGTGTCCGTTGTGTGAATACACCATGAATTTTCCTGATACTTTGCAAGCATGGAACATTCTTCTGTCCATTGGCAGGCCCTTCCAAGAGGCGAGACAAAAATCACTTGCGAGGGTTTGTAAGGAGAAGAGGGTGAAGTTTGGGTGTTTCCTTTCTGGTCCTATGCTCTCCAGAGAGTCCGGCAGCTCTCTCTTGCACAGTCCACCACTTTGAGCCCGTTTAGTTGCTGGAGGAAACCATGGAGAAACGTGTGTTTGTGTGTGGTGGGTGGGCGGGGGCCTTGAGGACGTAAGGACTGTATCTGCTCTGCTGTTCAGTTATAGGATGTCACAGGCCTATTTTGCATACTGGGGTTGACAAGTTGAGGCTTGTTCCTTTGACGCAGCCCTGTGGTCACAGCAAATCTTTCTAAAGCCCTAACCAGTGGAGAAGGGGGTTGTATGGATACTCTGAACCCTGACTAGAACTTCCTGAAAGATTTATTACGAGAAAAACCTTCCTGGAAGCAGCTGAAGGACAAACACAGAATCCCTGGCCGGGCAGAAGCCTCGTGGGCTGGTCGCCACTGTTTGAGAAGAGTCACATCTTGGAGGTGAGAACGGCCTCGTGGTCTAAGCCGTTGGCAGGCGGGCAGACTAGAATTCCGCATACGGGTCCTGTGATGGCAAGACTGGGTGGGTCTGGTATGGGCAGTAATGCTGTACCCATTGAGCTCCCCGAGGGGATCTGTAAGGTGGTCACATTGTTTTGCCTGGTTAAGGGTGACTTTTTGTTGTTGCTTTTTGTCCTTTGAGCGCAGAATTTTGCATAAACCAGGCTTCTCTTGAAAAGTAGAAGCAATCAGTTTCTTTTTCTGATTAATTTTCCTCTCTCCTGTGCCCTTTCCCTCCCCACCTCCCTCTTGCTGTCTGGTGTGTTCTTTCTGTTCAAAGCCGGAGCTTTTCTGGGCTGGGAAAAGGGAGCTTTTTCTAGGTTCTGAAATATCTGACCCCCACTGATCTGTGTGATTGTGGGTCTAAAAACTCAATGAATTTTTACTGTTGACATCCAAACAACCCCTTGTACGTGAGATTTTTTTCTCCCCTGAATGGCCGGCAGACAGGCTGTCTGGGTCTGGGAACCTGTGTTCACCAAGCCCTGGGGCCTTCTGGCTGCCCGGGATGGACACTTTTCTCGGACAGTTTAGCTAAGGAGTGTCCTGGATGAGCAGACACCCTCTCTTTCTTCCTCTTAGTGTTTGTGTCTCTGCGTTAGGTCAGACCAACAACAGATCAACCCTTCCCTGGGGAAGCCGAAGACCTTGGGTAGTGGCCGGTCTGTATTCTTTGGAGAGGTGGCTGTGGGCCTGCTAATGGCTGCACTTCACTGTGTGTGTTTTATTTAGATGTGAGATGCCCTCCTGGATGCTTGGGCTTTTAATTTTGCATTTCCTTTCATAGTTGGCTGACACTCTCCCTGGTGTTTTTCTTTCTCCGGATGCTCCTTTGTGATCTCTAAGAGAAAAGGACACCATTTTTATATACCCTGTCTCTGCAGGGGGTCCTCCTGACCCAAGATGAGAACAGAGCAAGAATGTGGAATCATTTTGACCATAGATGAACTGCACTGGCAGCTACTTTTCCATCTTCCCTAGAAAGCCTCAGAAATTCTAGGCCTTACGGGAGAATGCTGCTAAAATGGGGCTGCTGGGTGCCTCCTCTGTCTCTTCTGTTCTTCTGGCCTAGAGCAATGTAAGGAACTAGTAATAGTAATGATAATAACAGTAGTAATAACAATAAAGTAGTTCCTGTAATAACATTGAAATCATGATCATGTCAAGCATGTTCTTTGCATTTTATTCTACCTGCAACTCCCCCAGGCAGTAATAATAAAATGCTTAGCAACGATAGCATTCTTATTGTGGGCCAGCCTCAGTCATAAATGTTGTAGATGTGTTTATCTCATTTAATCTCCCAACACCACGTAAGACAGGATTATTATTATTATCACTATTTTTCAGATGAGGAACCCACAGCTCAGAGAGGTTAAAAATATCTCCTCCAGGCCACACAGCGGGGGAGTAGCAGAGCCATCAGGATTTGGACCCGGGGCCCCCTGACTCTTTAGGCCCAATCCCAGAAGTTAAAGGGTCGTGAAATTAAGAACAAGCAAAGGGTGCTTTCTGGCCTGGAGCAGGAGGCCTGAGTGTGTGCTCCTCTCCCCCAACCTTGCCCAGACACAGATAGCACCCCGACACCTTGCATGAAGACACCATGTGCTCTGGCCACTGGCCTGTTCTGTCTTGGAGCAGATTGCTAACAGCAGGGCCAAAAAGCCTTGGGCCGGGGCTTCAGTGTTGGGAAAGTTCTAGACTGTGGGTCAGGGAAATGAGGCTTTTGGGGAGGAGCCTCAGTCTTGGGGCAGAATCTATGAGCGTTGGCAAAATGCTCTGTCCAGGCTTCTGCCTGGCTTTGTGACCAGTATTTAATTACTACATAGTGGAGGGGAGGTACTCTTTTTGCAAATGCTCATATCCTCCCGCTCTCCCTGCACTGTCAGAGTTGTTCCCCCCAGAGTACCTGCCTCTCTCCTGCGTGTGTTTAGGTCCACACCACAATGAACACTGTGGTGACCCCTCTCTCAAGCTTATTATTAAAAACAAAGACAATGCCAGATCATAAAATGCAAGACTCAGATTCAAGGGGCCAAAATGGTCTCAGTCATTTTTTCATTGTAGAATTATGAATTGTGTTTTTTTTATTTTCTCTTCCCCTTTTTTTGGGCTTTGGGGGTATGGGGTACTGTTTTGCTGGTGCCTGTTAGATAATCTGAGCTCCAGTGTTGTTTATTTACCTGCCTCTTTTTCCCTAGTTGATCGTGACCTTCTTAAGAGTAGCAGGCGTCGGGGTGGGGGCTGATGGTCATCCTCACTTGTCTGGTGGCTGGCACAGCCCTGTTGCTTGGTTGCATCAGGTGACTGTCAAGAGCTGCTTTGTTTTAAAGGAAACAAGCAGTGCCCAGTCTACAGTCATTGTCTTTTTAGATGTGGAACAGCCTGACATGGTGGTAAGTGAGGATTTGCCCCAAGGGAAAGGACCCTGAAGAAAGAGAAGGAAACCAGAAAGCAGCAGAAAGCATCTGGGGACCTCTATGGGGTGGTGTAGATCTGGGTTACTCTGGGGCATGTTGCTTCACCTCGGTAAGCCTCAGTTTCTTCATCTATAAAATGGGGTTTCGTAGGTTGCTGTGCGGAGGAAATAGGGCATGAATAGCAGGCTTTTAACAGGGTGCCTGGGCTTATACTAAGCCCTCGGTGAAAGCTAATATTATTACTGCTACAATTATTGGGTTTATTACTTCCTGTGGCGCCTTGGAGTCGTGGTTTCTGAATACATTTGAAGGTGTTAAGGTAACATTCTGGTTACATAGATCATAAGATGGCAGTGACTTCATCAGACTTCTCTGCAAATATCTGAAAGACACACTGGCTAATATAAAAAAGACAGATAAATCAGGAAAGCTGCTTCTGGGAGAGCTGCAGAGGTGGGGCTCAGAAAGGACAGAAATCAGAGGGTACCCCTCAGCTGTCAGCCTGCCTTTACATCTTAAGTTGTGAGCTGCTATACAGGGAGAACAATAGCTTCTCCCTCCCAGGGATGGTGCAGAGCATTTAGCACAGAGGAAGTAGCTCTTGAGGAAGACATAAATGCAATTGGTATTATTTATTATTCTACAGGGCTCCCTTTTTTCCTGGTAAATTACCCCCAACATTTGCTATGCTGTTCAAGGTTGATTGATTGATTTGCTCATTTACTGATCAGTGGCTATGTGCCAGGTACTGTTCTAGCTGCTGGAGGTCCTGCAGGGAAGGACAGAGACATAGTCCTTGCTCTCCTGTAGCTTCCATTCTAGCCAAAGTGGCCTGGCCACCACAATGCTAATGGATGTGAGGTGCTTAGCAGAGGCCTGGCAGGTGGTGGTAACTGTATGAGAGGTAGTTGCTGGATTTGTATTCTCCTATTTCCCTTCCCGAGTTTTGTTTTTCTTCTACTTGCAATGGACTGAATGTTTGTGTGCCCCCCATCCCCCAATTCATATGTTGGAATTCTAACCCAATGTAATGGTGCTTAGAGATGGGGCCTTTGGGTGGTAGTTAGGGATAGATGAGGTCATTAGGATGGGGTCCTCAGGATAAGCTTAGTGTCCTTATAATATGAGACATCAGAGAACTCTCTTCCTCTGCATGAGAACACAGTGAGAAGGTGGCTGTTTGGAAGCTAGGAAGGCAACTTTCTCCACAAACCGAATGGGTTAGAACCTTGATCTTGGACTTTCTAGCTTCCATAACTGTGAGAAACAAACTCCTATGAAACAAAGCTGCCCAGTCTATTGTGTTTTGTTACAGCAATCCAAGTAAACTAAGGCATACTTACCTTTACCTGATACACCATATGTCTGTCTTCTCTCAATGAACTGTAAACTTGTAAGGCCTATGGCTTACAGCCATCCATTCATTCATTTTCATTGATTGAACAAATACTGTGGTCCTACTCTGTGCCAAGCACTGTTCTAGGGGTTGGGGATGCAGAAAGTAGTAAAAAGATCGCTGTGCTAATGGCATGTGTTACAGCTGAGATGGACAGAAAAGAAACAGTAGACATTGTAAGTGAGGACATGCATAGTGTGTGTGGGTGGTGGGTTCTATGGGAACAAGTAGGGCAGGTCAGGGGCTGGAGGGCTGGGCTGGGCTACAGTGTGAAGTTGGCTGGTCAGGGAAACCTGTGCTGAGAGGCTGCCTTTGGAGCAGCCCTGCAGGAGGTGAAGGAACGAGCCTAGAGGATGGGTATTTCCGGTCCTGGGAAGAGCCTGGGTGAGGCTGAGGGCAGGATTGGATCTGGGAGGTGTACGAACAGCAAGGAGGATGCACTGGAGTGGCATGGGCAAGGCGGACAGGGAGGGGAGACCAGGCAGCAGGCAGTGGTGCTTCACAGCATCGGCAGGCCTTTCTAAAGGTGTCTTTTTGTTGTTGTTGTTTAAATTGAGGTATGACGAGCACACAACATTGTTAATTCCATGTGTACAACATGATGTTCCATATTTGTATATATTGTAGAACATATTGTGTATATTGTGTAGAACTACAAAAGTCTAGTTAACATTCATCACTGTATGTACATAGTGACTTTGTTTTTACTCAGTGCAATGGGGAGCCCTTGGAAAGCTTTAAACAGAAAACGGATTCAATCTGATTTAGCTTTTGAAATGGTCAGTCCAGCTGCTGTGGTGAGAGGAGACAAAATCGGAGTCAGAAGCCAGGGGACCAGAGGCACACACACAAGAACACAGGTGCTTGGTCCTGGCTGGTTGTAGGGGATGTGGCCAGAAGTAACGGGCTTCTGGACTATTTGCTGCTGTATCCCCAGCCATCTATATCTGCTCTGATGAGGCAGCCACTAGCCTTATGTGGCCGCCAAGGTGAAGCTAGTCTGAATGGAATTGCAATGTATGTGTAAAATACACATCAGATTTCAAAGACTTAGTGCAAAGAAAGATTGTAAACTATCTCATTGATGAATTCTTTAGTGTTGATTATATAATGAAATAATATCCAAT